TTTAACGTGTTTTCTTTACTACTGAATCATTCAGTGTGCTGTCGTTTCCAAAGGCATATGCCAGCTACCGTGTCCTTAAATAGAAATCATAAATGCTGTGGATTTTTCTATTGGTTTATGATGGTCATATGTAATATTGCAAAACATAAATAGCTGGAAATATTGATTGTCTTTGAAACCCCAAATATTTCTTAAGAGTAGTAATTTCTAAGCATTCAGACATGGTCACAATTATTATATTTTTTTAAACTTGAGAGAATGAAATCTGTAAACCAATAATTTTCTTGATCTATAATCTGTCAAAATTAATTACATTGTTTTTGGTAACAGTATTGAAAGTCTTGTATACCACCTGTAAATTAATATACAGTAATTAACAGTAACAGAAGATCAATTTCTCTTGTTACAACAAAAGAAAGTCACTTCCAAATTATCATGAGTTTCTACAGAAAGATTCTCTTGAGTTTGTGTCTATGGCTGTCCTGGTTTGGGGTGGAGCAGAGCTAGTTCTCTTCAGTGATTTTACTTTTCAGCTAAAGCTCTGTGCACTGTCTGAAGTTAGCAGCAGATTTTCACAGACAGTGTCTGCTTGTAGCAGTGATAGTGCTCCATGTTTAGAGTTATTACCAGGGATTGGTGTGCAGACCAAGGTCACTGCTAAAGCTTGTGTACCACACAGAGGGGCAGAAAGCAAAGGCTGCACCTGCAGGGAGGAGTGGACAAGGTAAGTGACCCTAAATTCACCAATGGGGTATTCCATCCATCCCATATCCCTCATATTTGGTATAAAAACTGAAGGATCACTAGGGGCAAGCCCCTTCCATCTCCCTTCTGCTTCCTTCCTGGCTTTTGCTGCTTCTTCACTGGTCGGCATCCAAAGAGGACTTAATCCATTCTGCCTTTGATCCTGAGCCTGGACCAAGTCCCAGAATCCAGCTCCTGTGCCCAGCTGCCATCTGTTGCAGAGACTGGCCAGGGGCTTTATCCCAGGGCTTGCTCCCCAGCACTGGGGGTGACGGTGATGTGTTGCCATCAGGGGGGAGTTTGGTTCAATACTGATTTTGTATCTATTTGTATATATTACATTTTATTATTATTACTAGTGGTATATTCTTTACATCTGCTTTACTTTTCTAATCAATAAGAGTATCTCTCTTACTCCCTTTCTCTTCCCCTTTGCAGGGAGGGGGGGGGGCTTTAACAAAAACAACCCGGGGCAGCCCTGACCCTAAACTATGACAATGGTTTTCTATTTTCATTTAAGTTTATAACAGTTCAAAACATAGATATTGGCTTGTTGCAAAGGCTCTTTTGTTGATATTTCTAATCATTTTTTCTAACCAGGATGTCAAATTTTGAGCAGTTTCACTCTGACTTTTACCAGTCCAATTATACCATAGATGACCAGGAGGAAGCTTACAACAGTTATGGGTCTAAAGAAAACCTCTGTGGAAGCGGAAAGTAAGTATGGAAAAAAGAGAGAGAAAAGGCAATATGTCTCAAAGCTCAAATGATATTAATTACCATAACCAGTATGCAGTCACCAAAAAAAAGGACTGCACAATCAATACAGTGGAAGGCTTATTGGAGAAATAAAGGCCATAGCAGTAGAAAGACAGGAAGAATCTTATTATTTCATTTTTTTCTTGTATTTTTACAACTTACTGATGACTTCTGCCCATGGAAGAGGGACACTGAGGGAAAGAAGTTCTGAGAGCTTCCCCCTTAAAGAGATTTTGACACGACTGCCATAGGAGGCTGAGTGTTGCTGCGCCAAAGTCTAAATACGTGACTTTGATTAGCAGAATGGATGTATTTCAGGAGTGTCACCAGGATGCTTCATGTCAGCAGTGCCTACATTTGTGGGTGCCCTCACAGCTCCTAAATTCCCTTTCCCTTCATCCTCAGACTAGGGACCTGTGTTTGCCACTGCCTGAGCTCGGTGGGCACAGAAGTGAGTGCCATGGGCTGCAGTGTGCTGGCAGACCAGCAAGGAGCCCTGCCTGCTTTCAGAGGGGGCTGCAGTGAAGGGAAGCAAAGCCATGGTCAGCAGCTCAGCGTTCACTGCACACAGTGGATACTGTGCCCAGAAAATTTTCAGGTTCCCCAAACTGAAAACAAGTGAAAATTTAAACCATTGTACATGGTGAGCAGCTCTCAGCTATTGTGAAGTGGCTCGTTGCAGTTGCTTGTTTTGCTGAGATTTGCTTCTTTCCTAGGAGCCAGATGGGAGAGCAATATCCAGCCACTGCTTTTGTCCCATCAGAAATGCTTCTGACTTCCCAGCGTTACACGGGGCAGATTTTGCAGCCAATGTACAATCCTGACACTCTCTCTCATCTTGGTTACACTGATGGATTTGATGAGGAACCGCCTTTGCTAGAAGGTAAAAATAAAGCCATGGATAATGTGTGGCTCCTGGGGATGCCTATTTTCTTTGCCAGCTAGTGTCAGTCACTAGAGAAACTGCAGCAGAGCTGCCAAGCCTGGCTGTGTGAGCTTCAGCCAACAGCCCCTGGTCCCCAAACCTACATTTTTGTACTTGAATTTTTCGTGGATTCATTCAGCCTTATGGCATATAAAGCATATACTTTACTACCACTAGATGACAGCATAACAGTAAGTTTTGCATTCACATTTCCAAATTTTTTTTTCCACTTTGTTTTTATCCTGCACATATATTGGAACATCTGTAATTAATAAATACTGATAATAATACATTTTGCATATCTGGTAATAAATTTGAAAGCTTGAAGATGCTAAAGAGCTTCTTTCTAGGGGAAATTTGGGAAAGCGGCTTTCAGCTTTAATTAGTTGATCATTTAACTATACAAACAATATCATTGTTTGTGGTGATTGAATCATCCTAATGCTAGTGGCTGATTTTGTAGTTTACAAAATACTTGAGCTACATTAAAAAAAATAAATCTGAGAATTTGTGATTATTTCAGCATGATATAAAAAACATATTCAGCCTGCTTTTGCATATTGGAAGGCAAGTGAAGTTTTTACTGCTTAAAAGAAACTACTACTGCCTTAAAACTAGCAAGATCACTCTGTTAAATACAGATAACTTACTAGGTCTCTACCTCTCAGACCTCCAAGCATTTAGCTCCACATGCAGCTCACCCTGTGAAATGGATGTTGAAATATGAGTGCTTCTGATCTGCAGGGCTTCAGAGATGTTCTTATCTGTGTACCACAGAAATCTGACCAAATACTCACACTTGTACAGAGTAACTTCTTTTCATATAATGTTTTGGCTCAGCTCAAGATGATAGATCAGTGGAATGAGATAAAGACTCGGCTTTCCAAACATATCTATCTAACACATTATCAGTCTCAGTAATTCTGGCAACCAGTTCTGAACCTAACTTTTCCCTTACTGGAGCATCTCAGAGAGGTTGATTGCTCTTGCAACCTGAAATGTTTTTGTTCTGCAGAAGTTATAAGAGAAATCTTTGCCTCAGTAAAGTTGATGGCCAAATTCCCATTGATTTTAATGGGGCGAATTTTGTTCTTTTTCTAGGGGTTCTCAATAATTGCTTTTTAAATGAGGGAAAAAAAAATCATAAAGCACTGTACAAAGTAGTATTAAATTGCCTTGAAGGGAGGAATGTAATTTTTAAGCCCCACTGGCAGTTCAGGCTTAAGATACATCTCTTGTTAGATTTGTCAGAATTATAGCATCTATCTCTGTCCTTGGTGTTCTGAAGTAACTTGAATTCTGCAGTTACTGCTAATTAGCATATTTTTCAACATCTAGGTTAGTGTGGCATTAGATATGTGTTTTAAGTATAGGAAAAACAAACATTAATTCAAAAATGCTAAGGGTATTTTTTTGGTTCACTGCCTAAAATTTGATTTAATAAATTAATGTTCCAGTTTAGAATCAGAGCTAACTCTCAAATATACTGGGTATAGAAGAGGAGCATCAAGTTCCCACTGCAGAATATGTCATCCTACAATATTATCTTCATTAAAACAATCACTTTATTTGCTTATTTGGGGTTTTGTGGTATCTAATTGGGTTTCTGTAAGTGTTTCCTCGTGAGCAATTAGCAGTCTGGAATTTCTCGTTGCAGAACTTGGGATCAATTTTGAGCATATATGGCAAAAAACATTAACAGTTCTAAATCCAATGAAGCCTGCAGATGGCAGCATTATGAATGAGACAGACCTCACCGGACCTATGGTTTTCTGTTTGGCCCTTGGAGCAACACTGCTGCTGGTAGGACAGTAGAAATCTTAAAGGCATTTCTTTTCTAACAGGCTAATGCATAGGTGCTGATGCATGTAAAGTTGCAGAAGTAGTACTGGCATAAAGTGAGTCACTGACTGCTGTTTGTTCTGAGACTATATATTAAAAAGTCTCCGTGCTTTAAAAGTACCTGCATGAAGTTTAGATGTAAAACAGGTGAAGTGATGTATTGCTTCCAGTGGAAAGAAAAGACCACACCATTTTTTTGGGTGGGATTTAATATGAACAAAGTGTAGATCTATGTGGTGTGTATCCTGGGGAGGCTCTGAACACCTGAAGCATAACAGTCTGTGCTAGGTAAGGACTTAACAAGAGGGTTTTAAGGGAGGGATTAAAAAGACATAGCAGACCAGACCAGTTTTTTTAACAGTTTTGCTACTGTTTTGAAATTATCTTCTCTCAATGTTATTTTGTGGAGTATAGAGATATCAAAAGAATTATTTTTATGTAACTAGAATGATTTGAAAAAAGAAGTGGAAGCAGCCTTTTCCTTACCACTTCAAATTTGTAATATCTTCCTATAAACATTAGCCCTTAGTTTATAATCTTTTTTTACATCATCTGCTAAACAAAATATAGTAGCCTGTGTTTAACCTCTTTCCTCTTTATGACTATAGCTTTCCTACAGGGGGGAAGTTGAACAGGGATTGTACAGTACTCCAAATTCATCTATTTATCACTGACAACAGGGGCTCTCTGGTGCTGCTGAAGTACAGCTCTGATTGTTGGCAGCAATTCATCAGGCAGGGATAAGGTGGGACCATTTTGGGAAGGGCTTTACTGCTCTGCAGCTGAGGTGAGAGAAACAGGGCTCTAATTCTTTATTTCCTCTGTGATAAATAGTGCTGAATAAGAAGTCTTGCAAGTTCTTACTCAATTTGTAATGTCAGTGCAGTACCTTGAATGTTCAAACTGCAATATAAATGGCAAGTATTATTATTATTTATGTTTCTATAAAAATAAGAGTGGAAGGGGCAGAAGGAAAGGGAATAAAGGGAAAATAAAGTGAGAAGATGGAGAAGACAGACTATTTTCCACATAGGGAAGTAAAGTTATGAGGGGAATAAAAGGAGAAAATATTGAATTGATTATGATCAGGAAAATGCAAGGAAAGCTAGAAGAAAGAAAGAATGGGGGGTAAAAATGGTTCCTGATGATTTTGCTCCCTGAATAGCCAACAATTATAATGAATATTAAACTACTGTTATTGATATAAAGTACTTTAATTAGAAAATTTATTCTGGGATATTAACTGTCATTAGAAAAACAACTATTTTCAATGCTCTACTTCTAGGCCAACAGAACTCCTGTGATGCAATCTAGTACTTTTGTGCTACAACTTCACAGCAATGAGTCTATGGGATTTCCATGGGCCAACCTATCAATTCAGGCTGCTCGTTTTAGCTCAGATGCATTTGAATACTAAAGTGGCTCTTCAGCTGTGTGAGCTATGCTATCTTTCTGTACTTGAATAATTCTCTTCTAATAGCAACAGGAACACAACTTGGTTGAGAGCTTGTTTCCAAAAATAATGTATAAATTTTATTTCATTTCCACTTCTTGACTATGGAAATATATGCAAAGATATTCTTCAAATGGCAGCAGTTTTTTCAGAACACAGAGAAAAAGAAGAGAGAATTGTTAGCCTGGCATCAAGAGTTGATCTTCCTCATACTGGCATAAAACAGAGTAGCTCCATTGCAGATAGAGAAGCAGCAGCAGTGTGAAAGTTAGCAGAAGCCTGAGTCTCAGCTGCTTTGCATTTTACATAGTCATTCATACGAAATCAGACTTCCACTTCAACAAAGGACAGTAGTGCCCACTGTAGGCAGATGCAAACAAGCACACCAAGTCTGACTTTCTTCTAACCTTGTTCCTTCCGCAGGACAAATTTAGCTCTTTACATTCATCAAAGAAAGCCTGATTCTGGTTTTGCTTACATCACTGTGAATTGGGAGTATTCCCTCTTCTGTGAGTCAGTATATTTACATACGTTAAGAAAGAGGAGAATTGGAACCAACTTGTTCAGATGCCTTTTTTTCCCCTCTCTCATTTCCCTGCACCACAAATCAAACATTTCACCAAGTGGAGATTTCAGTTAGCTGCTAGTGCTCCCTTCATCTCCATTCAGTAATTTCTTAATCTTAAACTAAGCCACTAAATAGTGCTGTGTAGAATAATTACACTGAAGCAAACAGTCTAAAATATTGGCTTGTATTTGTTGCTGCGTCTGTTTGAGACAGCTTTTCTTAGTTGGGCTATTGTAAAGACCACCCCAAACTGTTGTGGATGTTTAAAATTTAATACAAAACTTTAATGACTGAAACTGTAAGTGATAATAATCTGAGCTAGTGTTGCTCTCCCACACTATCTCTAGCTATCATTAATTTTATTTGGTGAAGCACTTTTTCCTGATTGTTTTATACCAGCAGTATGCAATTGCCAGCAAAGGACTCTGTACCTAAATAGGATGATTTCTTACACTGTGAATTCAGGAATAGGTTATTCTTTATGGTGGAATGCAGTGGCAGAGAAACAGACAACACTTGGGACATTGTGAGGATATAGGCAGCCTGGGTACACCTTACCTAACCTTGAGGGCTAGAACCAGAGGAAGGCTCAGCAGTGAGCCAGGTCAAGCTGCAAACAGGATAATGATGCTGATGTACAGGATCTTCTTAACTGAGGCTGCCTCTCACATTAGCATGCATTGCTCTCCAATGGGAACTTGTGAGTTGTCACCAACCTGCAACATTAGGACTTTCAAGTTGTAGCATCGCTAGATTAAACTCTCTCCACTGTATTGTCAGCAATATTTGAGCTGGACATATATAAAACATCAGTGATCAGTTTGCATTTGAATGGATACAAGAAAAGAGGGCAGAGAAGGAGGGTCCTCAAAATTGTTTTGTCCCAGATTTTATTAAAATGTATGGATAACTAAAGTGGGAGGTCTTCTCAATCCTTAACCATCATGGAAGAGATACTTGCAAATATTGCATACTATGAAAAAAGCTTTGTTAATGTTTCCATTATCTGTCACATGAGAATTCAACCATAAGCTACAAAATGATTAGGAAACTGAGATCCTTTATTAGTTTTGATTCCTGTGTGATTTATCATATGCAATGTGTACAATATATAGTTGTGTGTGCGTGCACAGACACCTGTGTTTTACATATGTATATATGCATTGGGATGTGGTAGGAAGTTTATTCAATGGTCCTGAGTTAAGGGTTGAGTCCCAGGTTTGACCTTTCTCCTCCACAAATGCACGTTATCTTTAGGATACAAAGTTCCAAGACAAAGCAAACAAAATCATCTTCATCCCAATCACTGTTTATTTCTGATGTATGAATGTTTATTTCTGTCATGCAGATGTGAAAATGACAGTATTGCATAGCCGACATTCAGTATTTCATTTGTTAGAAGCTTGAAATCTTTTGTGAATGTTTTGGGGAGTGAACAATGCCCTCGTGCCTGGGGGTGATCCTTCAAAGTGATGGCAGAAGATGAAGAAATCGGTGGTGCTCTGGCCACTGTTGCCTGTTGTGCTAGCTTTGTGTATAAATTAGAAAACATCAGGCTCCAGGCTGTCAGGCTGGTACCTTTCACAGACACTAAATTTGCACAAAGGAATAAAACTTGGAAGAAAATAAAACACCTGGGTTTTTTTACATTCATTGGAACAAAAAAAGAACACAAGCTGACAGTCACTACTCAAGTTTATGTTGAAATGAATGTGTTGTATTGATCTAACAAGAGATGTGTCTTTCTCCTGGTAGTGAAGGGAAAGAATGGACACATTCACCCTGAAAACCAGCATACTTCAGCAAAGTTTTACTAGTTTTTTTGCACACCTGCTTAAAGATGGAGTTTTGTGATAAAATATTAATTGTATCAAGTAAGTCAGGCCCTCATTTTACTTGGAACACTTTTCCACAGCCCCATATACACCTGTATAACATCTTTCCAAGATGTTTCCTGAACTGCAATGTACTTTCCATAATTTCTTCTTAGTTTGTTACCAATTAGACCTTCTCGAAACTCCTCAAACTGTCCCAATCAGAGCCAAATGACAGTAAGACTGAGAATCAGCCTTATAACTTTGTTAGCGACAAACTCATTCTCACAATTGCATCTTGGAATTTTTTAGTGCAAAAACCATGAAAAATTATAGTCTGTGGTTTACAATTAACAGATATAGACAAAGCAGAGAGAGGGTCACCCAGCAAGTGACAAACCTAGTGCTTGTCTTCTGTCCTCTCCCACCACTTTGCAATCGCTTGCTCACTTACGACACTTCATGCTTCCTCATATTTATTCCAGGCAGGAAAAGTTCATTTTGGCTATGTGTATGGCATGAGTGCCATTGGGTGCCTTGGTATGCATGCCCTACTGAATCTGATGAGTGTCCAAGGAGTCTCACACGGCTGCGTTGCAAGTGTCTTGGGCTATTGCCTGCTTCCCATGCTGATCCTGTCCTCTTCTGCAGTTGTCTTCCCGCTACAGTAAGTACCAGTCTCTGGCAACAAGTCATATGGAGGACAGCTCTTCAGAAGGCTGATGTTATGCAAAACATTTTGTAAATGGTTAGGTAGTGAACTTTGCTTTCTGAAACTGTGAGAAAAACCACTCTTTTGTTTGTGTAGGTGGAAATGGATGGAAGTGGACTGTGTTTGAGGAGGGTGATATATATTCCTTGTAATATCAGTCCTTAATTCCACTGGCTCCCAACTGATCTGAGGGTGCCTTTGACTTTTGCAGTAGCCTCAGAGGTGATTTTTATTTTGCAGAGCCAACCGAGACCAAAGTCAACTATCAATTTTAAAAGCAACTGACAGACTTTGGGTTTATATAACGCAGGGACATGTGCCTGACCATGGGAGTGGGGTTGGAACTAGATTATCTTTAAGGTTCCTTCCAACCCTTGCCATTTTATGTTTCTATATGATTTCTTTTTTTGTTCATAGTGTCAGACTCCCATTCTTATGCTTCCTTTCCTTCTATAGACCAACCTCTGTGTGGCAGAATGAAATAATCAAGCAACCCTTAATGACTTGGACCATTAGAACAAGGGTTTAAGATGTAGTAGAGTCATGTACTCTGAGGTATAGTTGTAGTGTAATTAAAAACCTGAAAATAACTGAAAACTTTGAAAATCAAAATGTGTGGTGGTGTACGTATCTGTGCATATTCAGTGATATGCTATAAATAGGAAATTTGTATGCAAGCTTCTCCTCCCTCCTCATTCTGTAAGCCTTTTGAGATACAGACTCTGTTTAGCTCCCTTTTCACATACATCGAAGTACAAGGAAGCTCCAGGTCTTGCCTGAAGGCTTTAAGCAGTACCTTTATCCATTGTTAACCTGTTATTAGTAAGGATTCCCCTCCTTAGTCTTTGCTGTTTACTCACATTTTTAACTCTCTCATCTCTGTAATGTATGAGACTTGGTAGCTGATGAATAAGAAAATGCCTTTGTTTTCTTTGGAGAAACAGCAATTTTATGTATGTTTATATTATTTTTAAAGGATATTATTTAGTGGAAGGAAGATATTGGCACAATCTTTGTTGCATGTTTCTGTGGAGCTATAATGGTTTAACCTGACCAAGATTCCATGTATTAAAGTGTTTCTGAGCTGTCCTTGATGAGATGAACAGCAGTGACACTGAAGAAGCTGTTTATTCTCTGTTCTCCTAAACTTCCCATATTTTCTTCATCAACCTGTTTAATAACCCACTCAAATAAAAGATACAGATATATAATTTTAGGACAGATGGGGCAACCTCCAAACCAGCTGTTACAACTGTGTGGGGTACCATTGTCTGTACAAGGAATACCCAAGCACACTCCACAGATTTGTAAAATGCTGCAAGTTTACAAGAAAGCACATCTTTTGAAACTGTATAAATACTATACTGTCATAGTGTTTACAAATTTAAACCACAATTTCTGGAATTAATTGATAATGGTAAGTGCCTATCTACAGGATTCTGCAGTCCCTGCACATTCATTATATGAAACTGCTTGAACACAGCAAATACCAAGGTTAACTATTATGAACATACTATTAAGATAGGGTGGAAACTTTTAAATCAAACACACATGCCATTATTTGTAATTTAAAAATTATTTTAGAAGGATAGGAAAGATGACAAAACATTACAGATTTTTTTAAAAAATACACAGAAATAGCATTTTTGCATATATTTCAAAGTGTAAAGAACTAACTTCAATGTTTGTTTTCTCAAAAAAATGTGTAAGACAATGGACACATCTGTTGAAAAGATTTGTATAGATCCAAAAATTTTCAATAATCGTGATTAGCTTTTTCACTAACAGAATAAAGCACAGTGTGGAATGTTTTGTGTGCTGAATGATATCAAAGAGAAAACCAGTTCTCTCATGCCAACTTCTATGGAACCAGATTTGTTTGTGTCCATCTATGTTTATATCAGAGAATTGTTTTGGTTGGAAGAGACCTTTAAGATAATAAAGTCTAACCATTAATCCAGCACTAAACGATGTCCTTCAACACTACATCTACATGTCTTTTAAATACCCCCAGGCATGGTGACTCTGCCCTGGGCAGCCTGTTCCAGTGCTGCATAACCCTTTCAGTGAAGAAATTTTTCCTAATGTCCAACCTGAGAATATTAGGAAACCAACTTGAGGCCATTTCCTCTTGTCCTAATGGTTGTTACTTCAGAGAAAAGACTGACCCGCCCCACCTCACTACAGCCTCCTTTCAGGTAGTTGTAGAGAGTGATAAGGTGGGACTCAGCACTTGACCTCGCTGAATCTCATGCAACTGGCCTCAGCCCATTGCTCCAGCCTGTCCAGATCCATCCTTACAGCCTTCCTGCCCTTGAGCAGATCAACACAACGACCAAACATGGTGCCATCTGCAAACTTGCTGAGGGTGCCCTCAATCCCCTCATCCAGATCACTGATAAAAATGTTAAACAGAACTGGCCCCAACACTCAGCTGTGCCTAATATCACCTGTGACCAGCTGCCAACTGGACTTAACTCCATTCACCACCAGTCTTTGGACACAGCCACCCAGCCAGATTTCACCCAGCAAAGAGTACCCCTGTTCAACCCATGAGCAGCCAGTTCACACAGGAGAATGCTGTGGGAAACTGTGTCAAAACCTTCAATAAAGTCCAGGCAGACAACTTCTACAGCCTTTCCCTCACCCCTTTAGTGGGTCAGCCTTGTCAGGTTGGTCAGGCAGGACCTGCCTTTCATAAACCCATGCTGACTGGGCCTGAGCATGTGTTTGTCCTGTATGTGCCATACGACAGCACTCAAGATAATTTGCCCCATAACCCTCCCTGGCACTGAGGTCAAACTGGCAGGCCTGTAGTTCCCTTGCTCCTCCTTCTGTCCTACCCAGTTAGGCAGGACCGCTGATAAACAATAAAAAGTGGCTTCTGCCATCTGCCTCAGTACCCTTAGGTGGATCACATCTGGCCCCATAGACTTGAGTGTATCTAAGTGACCTACTGGTCACTGACCATTTCCTTCTAGATTATTTGGGCTTCATTCTGCTCATTTTCCCTGTCTTCTAGCTCATGGGGCTGAGCACTCAGAGAACAATTCATCTTACAATTAATGACTGAGGCAAAGAAAGTATTCAGTACCTCTGTTTTTCCTCGTGTTTGATCACTGTGTTTCCCACTGCATCCAATAAAGGATGGAGATTCTCTTTATTCCTTCTTTTGTTGTTAAATTATTTAAAGAAATATTTTTATTTGTCAAATTTTTACTCACATCTGAGCCCAGCCTGATTAGGCCATCTTTCTAGGAGAAACATCAGCAGAATGTTTTCTTTGAAGAAAACCCCAATTCTTTACTATCAAATTTCTGAACCGAGTGATCAAGTAATTTCCTTAACTAAACAGTGAACAAAATGAGTGTAAGTGTGAAGAAATTCTTAGGCTCAGCCAGTGCAAAGGATGCATTTGGTGACTGTATCTGCAGGATGTATAGAGGGGGGTGGAGAGTGTCCACTCATGTCTTTCCCCACAAGTCAATCTCATGCCAGTACACCCCTCTCCTCGTGGTCACTGTGGGCATGACATCTGCTTTCTGCCTTTCTCCCAGGCTTGAGGATTTGGCCCTCATGGACGTGCCAGACACAAGCTCTCTGCTAAAGTCAAACCATTCCTTTTGGCAGTAACATGCTGTAAGATGGACTGAATTTAAAAGTTCACCGAGTTATCTCTTGGCTCCAATATGATTTTATGTCACCTTTACATCCTGCTTTCTGCCAGTTACAAACCATGAGAGGCCATTGGACTTCACAAGGCAGAGCAGCCACAGCTCTAAATTGTACTACCTTGTGATAGCACCCTAAAGAGTCATTATACTAGCTGAAAATTGTAATCCCTTGGTATGTTCCTGTTGCATCCCATTCCTCTGTCAGCATGGATACTAACTCAAAGAGCCATCCATACCAGCTCTGAATTTCTAGCTAACTGTTGAGGTGAGCACCTTAGCATCTTCACTTGGAGAAGAGTAAAGAGTTTTCCGCAGAGCCCAGTGTAATTTCCCTGAATGCTACTGTATAGGTTTAAAGAACACTTAAACTGAGGACATAAAATCACATGATCTTTAATGTTTTATTTTTAGCAGGTTGAAATTGCATGAGGTGCTGAATCATCTTAAAATCAATTCTCTCCTTCCTCTCCAAAAGTCCCAAGAGCTGACAACACCAAATACCTTATTGGCCTGGAGACTGAATTGCCAAGAAAGAAACTGTTTTGTGAGATATGATTGCATTAAGTAAACTAAGTCAATTAAATAAGGAGACATTTATTCATCGTGGTTTATTTGCAACAATAATGAGTGGAGATTATTTCTGATAAATGGACCTAAATAAGTATACATAGTCTGTTTCTCATTTCTGGTTCTGGTATGCTGATACTTTGGAAGAGTGGGGCACCAGGAAGTTCTTTAGCAAGTGGCAGAGGCTCATTCATTCTCAAAGCCCTTGAGACCAAGACAGCGATAGTGTGTAATGAAGCTGATCTCATTAGGGACTTCAGCACCATCATATGCACATGATCTCATGCATTTTACAAAAGCAGGCTGCAAATACAGGCTGCAAATATAGCATTTGTGAAAGATTTATTGGCAAGATTGTGTTCATACAGGGTGATAGTGAGCTCTTTTTAACCTGCAGGAATATTTCACTGGGCTTTTGACAATAGTCCCATAATCATTAGCTCTCCAGGCCACGCTGCACTTGAGAGGTGGCAGAAGGTAAATTCAGAATGGCCTAGTTGCCCCCAAGGGTCGGTGTGGAAAGTCACTGTCCTTTCAGTGTGAAGGATGCCAGGGTGAGCAAAATATTTGTCTTCAGTGGTTCTTTTCCTATCCCCTACTTTCTGTTTGACGTGCACCCGTCTTTAAAAGATCAGCTGAGCTTTCTCCTAGGAGGTAGTCACTACCTTTTTGTCCAGTCAGCTGAGGTGTGATTCTTTAAGAGCCTTATTTCCTCTCCTCCGAGTCCAAAGCACACTAAAAACCTGTGCCATGTGTTACAAAAATGCAATCCCTCCAGATCATCAGGCTGCCTAATGGAAGTATATGTAGTATCATTTTACATCCTAACAGCTTCTACCACAAGATTTTAGCTGCACTAGGATCTTTCTTAAATTTAAAATTAAACTTTAGCTGCTGCACCTGCTGGAGCCCCAGAAGATTTATGTGGAAATGTGCTGTCTTTTTAGCAGTACTTCTGATGAAGCTGCTGCTTTTATCCATGCTGAAGACATTACTGTTTTGTTTCCTGCTACTATTTTAAATTGTTTCTTGGGCTTGACTTTCATTTTATCAATCAGTCCTTGGTTTTTCCAGTGACTGTTACCTTATCAATAACAAGCTTCTAGGTGTGAACTTTGATAAGATTTGATGCTATGTTTACTAACAAGTGGACTCTGTCATGTTTCTTTTCTTTTTCTTCTAGGGGTATCTTGGGAACTTTGTTAGCTCTGTTTATTATTGGATGGTGCAGCTTGTCAGCCTCCAAAATTTTTACTTCTGCTTTGGCTATGGAAGGACAACAGCTTCTTATTGCATACCCGTGTGCTTTACTTTATGGACTTTTTGCACTTCTAACAGTTTTCTGAGATGTATTTTCTGGTAGCCTTATTACCGTCTGTTTATGGTTGTTGGAGGGGCAAGGCTTTATTTACTTATTTTTAGATTGCCTACAGTTGCATTAAGCTCCATTAACAAAACTCGATTATAAGACTTATTTCTCTAATGTCTGATAATAAAATTTTAAAAAATCAAGCCAATGGGAAGATGATTGTAAAAATGGTGTTTTGAAACTGTCAAAGAAAAACATTTCAGCAGGTAATAAAAGTGTAAAAATATTAAATAAATTATAATTTTAAAAAATTCTTCTGTGTGTTTAATATATAATACATATACTAGAGCATAACTGGAAAGCAATAACATAAATATTTAATAAACCTAGTAAATCAAATGAAAACAGAAATTTATTGGTTTAAAAACAAACAAAACAACAACAACAACAACAACAACAAAAAACCAACCAAACAAAAAAAAACCAACCAAACAAAAAAGAAACAAACAAACAAAAAAAAATAGTTTGCCATCTTATATGATGACTAATATCCAGAATTTATGTGTGTTGGCTTGTGGATTTTTTTTAATAGAAGAGTGAGTGACCCTGCTTTGTGCTGTTGAAGAATTGCCCAAGAACAGTTGCTACAACAGAAGGAAGAAACATCTCAGTTTTGCTTTAAGAGGTGTTACTGTCCAAAAACACTATTGTACTCTTTGTAATGTACAGTAATGATGTATTTTAAAAGTGCCACTAAACCACCGCCTGCTGTCACTGCAGAAAAGAACCACACAAAGCAAAGGCAACTCCTAAAAATGTCTCCTGGAAGGCAGAACGGTATTTGAGCAAGTAAAATACGGATCTCCACAATTTTGTCTACCTCCAAAATATATATTTGCTGCTTTTAGTTTTACAGGAACCTAGCATTTTTATGATAGCAATGAAACACAGAACACACAAGATGGGGTTTCAAAATGTAATATTAGAAGTATTAAGCCATCAAGAGGAAATGGAGATGTGTGTGCAGTCAAAACAAGAGCATACCAGTACACAGTGGTATTGAAAATGAATGTTGCTGTAGAAAGGGCTAAGGAACAGAAAAATATGAAATAAAGGGAAATGTGAAGGAGATTAAAGGCAGCAGATTATTTCATCAGTGTTCATCAGAGTGTCTTCCTTCTTCATTTATATTTTTATGATCTCGATTATCCTCCAATTTATTCACCATTTTGAACTCTTTGGTGAAATGCTTACAAAATATTTCTCTCTCTAGACAGAGGATCAATGATTCTCTGAGAGAGGGTCCTGCTACTGCAAGCACTTATGCAAAAGTGTAGCATGGCAAAACTGCTCAAGAATATGTAAAATTAATTGTGTCCCTAATCCTTTCCAGGTTAGAGATAAATTAGATGATCAGTCTGTCCTTAAGCTGGTGATTCTGTTTCTGAATCAGAAGAGCCTTTGGTAAAAATATTTCCCATTGCTGGCATATTTGGTTAAAAACTCATGTGCAAACCATTACAAAATCCATTTTTCTGAAGTCCCATGGAACTAGTTCAGCCTAGAGATCATGAGAAGTAAACAAAAGGCTAAGCGTACTTGTCCTTTTAAAAAATCAGATTCATTTATGGAAAAATACTTGCTGCATTTATCCATTTCTTTGTTGCAAGACTATGAACACAGGCACAGAGAGGCAAAGTCAGAGGTAGGACCCTGGAGCTAATTGTGGCTGTAGCTAGGCAGGATCTAGTTGCATTTAAGTGGGAAGTGTGTGAATTTGGAAGATCAGCATTTGTGAGTGAGACAGAGTTGGCCCTGCTGTATCAGGTAGTAAATCTGCCACTAGATGAGGCACAGATAAACATGTCAAGTGAGTCCAGGGTGTGGTTATAAAATCAGACAGTTTGATTTACAGTGCACTAATGATATTCTCATGTCTGAATAGGGC